ACAAGAGTGCGTGGATGACTTCGGAAATTTTTGAAGAGGCGATAAGAAAGTGGGATATCGAGCTTAAAGGGGAAAAAACTCTTCTGCTTGTAGACAATTGTCTTGCTCATCCTGTACTGTGCGACCTTCAAAACATTGAACTTTGTTTTCTGCCAGTAAACACAACGAGTGTCCTTCAGCCCATGGACAAAAGTGTCATCAACAGTTTGAAAAGCCATTACAGGAGAAGACTTTTGATGAAATTTGTTGAGAACAATGGCGATCTTAACTAAACATTCTTGACGCCATCCTAAGATTAGTAAATCCTCAGACGAGGTGACGAGCAATACAATAAAACATTCTTTCAAACACGCAGGATGGCTGAGAAGATCAAGGATTGATTGATGATGAAGGTGACTTAGAAGTTGATCAAAATATAGCTACAACATCTGGACTTTCTGACGAGGACATCCTACAAGCAGTTCGTGTAGAAAAAAAAATCAGTGACCCGGAAGTGGAAGCAGAGCCAGAACGAGCTCCGATCCCTCATCAGGCATTGGATGCGGCAAAAGTACTGCATCGATTCTCCATCCACCAGGAAGACAATATAAGTGCTGTGGAAGATTGTATGCGTCTTCAGAACAAGGTCAGGTCAGTTCTGTGGAAACTGGAAAGGGAAAAGGAAACAGACCAAAGTGGCAGACTTTTTTGGTAATGTAGGCTAAATTTATTTTATAGTAGCATATTATTTTGTTACTGTACACTATACATGTTTTAATTGTATAGTCATTTTTTTATACTGTATTGCTTATATTATTCTTTCATAAATCTTTGTGGTATACAATACAGTGTTAATTCATTTATATTCGTTTGATAATTTTTTTAAATATAAATACTATTACTGAACCGCTCGTTTTATTTAATCTCGCTACAATACGTTATATATACCATTTTTCAAAGTAAAACACTTGTACGTCACGATTTATACAAAGTGACGTCACTTGTATTTAAAATTTCCAGAACATCAACCCTAGAGTTCAAATTTTCCTAATACAGCTAATACTACGAAACCCATACGGAATTGCTCGATCTTTGATAGGCGTCAGCATTGTGTAATAATCAGAAAAATATAATCATCATTATTTTGGAAATTTTAGAATAATATTGATTAAAGAACCAAAAAAATTTATTATTATTAATAATATAAATATTATGAAATAACTGTTGAAGTCTAAAATTCCACAAAATAATAATTTTAATTAAATATATTAGACAATTATTGACAGTTCAGCGGGTGGTAAAAGTGTATAACGTGTTGCCGGTTTTTAGAGTAGATATTTTGTTTACATTTTAATTTCTTACACAATTTGATCATAATATAATATATATTAATAAATTGTATTTATAACTGCATTTTAAATTTAGATTAATAGCTTTAAAAAGTAATTATTGTTGTGTATTGTGATTGTGATATACCAAAACAAATAAAAGTGTGTAGAAAGCTGATAAGCTTTCATATAAGATAGATTATTTTGAACAAGAAATAATGGCGGGACGTTTTTGTTATTAAAGCCCTAAAAGGGGTATAAGTTTAAAATTTAGAGTATATAATTTTGTATTAAAATCTTTTCTTATTTATTTTAGAGTGTTGTAGTAGTCTTAAAACTAAGTGTATTTACTGTTAATATAATAGTTTGACAAATAGTTGACATTTTAAGAACTCCTCACTAACTAACTATTCTGATGTTTTGGCAACGCTGTAGGGTTCTGACTATGTAAATCTTGAATGACGTGCAAGCTTTTTTATCTGAAAAATGCTATAGTATAGTATTAATAATATTACAGTACCGAACTTTGTCTCTCTCTGTATAACGATCTCTCCTTATAACGATGAAAATTTCCGGTCCCTTGCCTATCGTTTTAGAGAGAGAGAGAGAGAGAGAGAGAGGGAGAGAGAGAGAGAGAGAGGGGACTTATTTGCTTTATGATAAATTTTGTAATGGTTATGATTGTTTTTTAAACAGAAAAACCAAGATTTTAACCATTCATAAGTTCTTCAAAACAGATACAGGTCAGGAAATGAAGCATTTTGGCTCGCAATTTTTTCGTCCAGCATGGATTTACTGAAAATTTTGACGAAAGGTAGGGAATATCATAAAGATTATTTTCTATATCATGCCACTGTACACTAAAACCTTGGGGATGGTTGCCACCCCATCTCGGGGGCGGGGCGGGTCAATTTTAAAAAACTTTTCCTAGCCTAATAAGAATGTAGTATAGAACACTTCAATAGAATGGAATAATTGCTTCTCCCTTAGCACAACGGTTAAGATAATTAGGTTCTGTTAATAAAAAAAATAAAATTCTAGTAAATATGTTACCTACTGTTCTTATTACGTTTTTGTGTTGTATGATGAAAGTTACTGATAGCTAAGATGTAAAAATAACAAAAACCTATATTTTTTCATATTATATGGTATTGATCTCATTGTAATGTATTATATTGACATAAAATTCGTATACGAAGAATAAATAGGATTAAAGTCATATTACAATTTTGTTAATCAACTTTTTTGTCATCGTAAATAGCTTTTTGGTAATAAAAAAAAAAACAGATAAAGAAAATGGTTCGCCATACTAGTGAATCGATTTGTCTTTTACTGATTTTTCCGACTTAGTTTCCCGAAGAAAAGGGAATGTGACTCTCACGTTCTTAGAAAATTGGAGGTTTTTAGAAGATTTAGATTCCACACATGACAGATTCAGGTTTCACACATAGAAATCAAGATCTCTTATTCGGATCGATTTTTCGAGACCGCGTGAGTAGTATAGCCATAGTGGTTCTGGACCCAAAAAATCTTGATTATCTGCTATTGATGGTCTTTCATTGTTTTATTATAGTAATTCTTGCTGATTTAGATAGATTATTTCCTTGTGATGAGTATATCTGAAGACAAACATTTTTTTTTCTCACAAATAATGTTTATCTGTATGACTTAGTCCAATCTTTTATCAAAAAGTACAATTTAGACAATATGGTTTTAAAAAATATTACATAATTATATAAAAACATACCTTGCTTATTTATTCCTAAGATATATTAAGAATATGAATTATATATTGCATTTTTGCAATTTAGATGTAAAAACGACCAGTTTTAAACAAATATGCTAGAACAGATAAAAAATTTTATGTTTGTATTCTTTTAAGTAGCGTTTAGTTTTATATATAATAAATTTTATTGATCAATAAAGGATTTTTCGAAACATTTGTATTCTTTTCATTTTATTTCAGACTTCACGATAGTCCATATAACCATTTAATAAAACAGGTATTAAAAAGCTTTCAATTGCATAATATTCTAAACAACTATCTCCTCCTCCTCTATCCTTTATCGTAAGGATGTGGTGACGTTATGGTATTTGACGAATGGTTGCCATCCATTCTTCTCTCTTCGAGGCGCGGTGTGCTGCCTCAGACAGAATAGTGCCTCTCTAGTGACAACAGTGACTCTAACCAATCATCTGGTATTTTTCCTTCGTTGTAAATTTTGTTGAAGAAAGTGGTTAAGCAGGCAATGCTTTCCTCATCCAAAAGTTTAAGTAGCTCAGCACGGAATTGATCTGGTGCAGGTGCTGTATTGTTTTTGGCTTACTGTATTGCCTTTTTGACTTCCGAATTCAGTATACTGGGACCTCTGTCTAACTGGTTGTCACAGGCAGTATTTGGAGCATTTTCTCTAGAAGCATCGTCAAAAAGGTCAGTGATGTATCTCTCCCATTCTTTGCACTGTTGTTCGTGATCACAAATTTTTCCGTCTGCGCTTTTAAGTATTGAGCATTTTTCTGTTTTCTAATTCCGGCAGTATATTTAAGTTTCTTGTGGAGGTTGAAACTGTCATGCTTTTTTTGGAGGTCTTCTATTTCTTTACATAAATTCTCAAGCCAGGATTCTTTGGCTTGCTTAATTTTTCTTTTTGTGCGTTTATTGATTTCACGGTATTCGATAATATTTTTATTTCTATTTCTATTTTTGTGTTGCCGTCGAACTTTCATCAGGTCTGGAATTTCTTGTGTCATCCACTCATTTTTTGTCAACATGGTAGGTGTTTTCAAAGAGTACGTTCTCTAAAATCGAGTTTTGAATATCATACCAGCATTCATTAATGTTTTCGTTTGGTATATTTGATATTCTGTGTATTTTACTATTTATCTGCTGTGATATGTGTTCGCGCGTTTGAGGGGTTTTCAGGAGGTCGAGATATATCTTACAAGGCTTAGTTGTGATTTGGGTTTATGTCAGCGCCGGGGTAAGTTTTTACGTCTTTAATATTGTTTCGAAATCGGTGGTTTATTAGGATGTAGTCTATTTAGTTCCGTACTATTCTTCCTTGATGTCCATCTTGAGGGGAAACAACTATCTAAGTAAATATAATTCTTTTTTGGAACAAAGCTATTGAACCATTAAATGTAAAGTATACATTATTTCACAGATTAATTTCCAAATGGACACTCACGTGTTGGTTTTTTCAAGAAATTTTTCGTAGACGCAATAATAACTGTAACAAGATCCGATGAGAGACAAAATGAAAAAAATAGATGGTAAAATCAAATTGGAGGTGAACAGCCCAGTTATTATATATTATATATGATGTATATTTATATATTATATATAAATAAAATTAATAATCAAGTGGAAATAGGGACTGGAAAAAGCCTGACCGAATGCCATGGAATCACTATATTCAAAAGTAGCTGAGAAAAGTTGATTTAATAGGGGTATAAGTAGAAAGAGTAAGAGGAAATATAATGTCTAATGGAAATGCTGAATAGAGAAAGAGAGAGATCTTTAAGAAGGCTTGTTTGGATATGGCAACAAAATTACTAATGAAATTATTGTTAGAAACTTTCAAAAAGAAAAATTTGATGAACGTATTAGCAGACTTGGCACAAATAAATTTTCTCTAACTTTGGACCAACTCCAATTTGTAACTTCCTTTTAACTGCAACAAATAAATAGAAAAGAAAATAAATAATTTACTATAAATATACTCGTATTACAAAAATTGATATAATAAAATGTTCTAAAATACGTAAGTCAAATCAGCATTACTCGACTCAGTCGACTGCTCTCCCTGCACAGCTATACCTTCCAGATACCTCTCATAGGCGTCGTATTCTTCTTCAGTATAAAACTGCGATTGGGCAGCTTGTGCGTTTTCAAAAAGACCGAACCTAACTAGAGTTGCGTGAACACTGGTATAGCATTTTTTAATCTCGCTTCTACTTACGTCGTTCATTAAAGGAAATTTGCTATAAGGGATCCATTTTCTGTTATGATCCAGCTTCACCGGTTGGGAAAACACTATTCCCTTCGGTATATTAAATGAACCTAGAAGTATGCTATCTTTAAAATATGTCAAAAGCTCTAATTATTACTGTTACGGTTTCAAAAATTTCTAAAATAGAAAAATTTCTTAAAGTGGAAATCGAAACGTCGAATATAATATTGTGGTTTATTTTTATTAAATAAAATACAGAATTTAGGCTTATTAATGTGTAGTGTACTGTAGATCGAGATGAAATATGGATGAGAATTTGACAAGCTAGAGCAGTATTTAATAAAATGGGAAAAGTGCTATGCAGAAGTGGCGTTAGCTTCCAAAGAAAATTTATTTAGCTTAAGGATATTAAGCTTATATGTGTTTTTAATGCTATTTAAAGCAATGGAGGCATGGACTTTTACTAAATTGAGCTCTGGCTTCCTGTAATTTCTGCCTCCAATACAGACGCCCTCAAGTTCTGACGTTCAGTAAATTATGCGCATCCGCTGCCACTTCGCTTACCCATGTGTTACGTGGCCTTGCTTTTAGATTTCTATTCTACATTTTAGCAACTAAAGCTCTCCTCGGTAGGCTTTCATCTTTCACCCTCACTATATAGCCAATCCATCGAAGTTTCTTGAGTATAGAGAATTCTGAGATAGTAGATCTTTAAACAATTAGTAAAGTTTATAGGCGTGGACCTTGAGAAAGAAAATTAGTGAAGGGCTAGAAGTATCTAGGTTATGTAATGGAAGCACATAAGTATTTCATATTGCAGATCAAAATACAAAGTAAAATACAAGAGAAGTTTGGAAGATACTCATTATCTGGTTAAATGATCTGAAAGAGTGGTTTCCTTAAAACTGTAGTTCCTTAAAACTATTTAGAGCTACAGTGTCAAAAGTGAAAGTAAAAAATTTGACCACGTACAATCATTAGGTACAACCGTTATTCGTACATCTATAGATAAAGAAAATATACCAAACGATAAAACAAAATGATGAAGGCGAAATGGGATGGAAAATAATATTGGGATCACAATTTAGTACCAAGTTATCAGGCCATGGAAATAGAATGTAGAGATTTCTGCATTATGTAATGATGTACACACCATTCTTTAATGCTATGAAATACTGAACGAGCCATCAAACCTGTAATCAACACCCAAAGGTATGAGTAGGAACACAAACTGTATTAATACTCATCATTTTACTCTTTTTTCAAGAAAGAGGTAGCAAGTAATCTCAGAGAATCTAGAAAGATTTGCTCGACTTTTGCAACGAACATATGTAGCGACATTAAAGAGGAATATAAGCACTTTTGTGACTTAAAAAAGAAAGAATTTTATGAGAATGCTGCATTGAGTTTAAGAAATACAAAAATTCAAAAGAATTTTGGGAGGCTGTTGGGTTGTATAAGTTTGAAAGTTTGGCCATTGGGGAAGGAGTTAGCTTAAACAGTTTACTGCAACATTTTGCAAGACATTTGAATACGAAGATAATAACGGATCCTATGTTGTATGCAGAACCGTTTATCCTCAATAAACATTTAGACCGGCCGTTTAGTATGGAAGAACTTCAAATAGCATTGGATTGTTTAAAACCAAATAAACCACCACGAGTTGATAGAATTTGGTACTTGGGCTTGCTAATATTTTTTTCGTCAAACTAGACTTTCCTTAGGGTTTTGATGTTATAATAATTTTTCCTTTATATAAGACAGAAAACATGGAAAATACAGAAAGTCATCGAGGTATTAGGTTCTTAAAAACAATAACTAAACTTATTGCGGCATTGACTTCAACCAGCTTTACCTCGTGGTTATAAAATAATAAGATTTTAAATAAGTTTCAGGCAACATTTTTAATCTTATGAGTATAATAAAAATCCAAAATGCACGGGGAGTAAAAAATGTTTACATTTTTTGTGGTTTACAAGATGAGTTACTTGGGATTATCTACTAAAGTGTTCAATTTGTTAAAAAGTATGTTCGCAAATACAAAATCGACAGTCTGGTCAAAAGAAAGTCTATCTGAATGGTTTGACTGTAATGTAAGAGTGAGACAGATATGTCTTTAAAGTCCTTTAGTAATTGCACTTTTCTTGAATGACCTACATGAAGATTTGGGAGGCGGTTTGGAAATAAATGGTTTGATTATAAGAATTTTATGTAGATGATTTGGTTTTGATTTCAATCAATCGGAAGGTGCTACAGCAGATGTTAATGAACAGGAAAAATACTGCAAGATGTGGAATGTCAAAATAAATTTAGATAAATCCAAAATTCTTGTATTCAGAAAAGGAGTTGGTGTAATCAGGGAATCTTGGAAACCAAATTATCGAGTATTAGATTTAGTGAATAATTATAAGTATTTGGGAATGATACCAATATTAATAATTTGCGCCAGAGTTTGAGTTTGAATTTGGAGTAGTTTAATGTCTAAGGCTGATATACCCTTTTTAGCTAAAGTAACAGTATATGAGATGGTCGTAAGATCAATTTTGACCTATGAGTCTTTTTAAGTACGATGAGGTTTAAATAATCAGAAGATTTTATATAAAAAAATGTTTCCTTGTCCAAGGTATTATCCTAACTTTATGTTACATTTGGAAACAGGTATTGCTAGAGGCAGTCTATATATAATGAATTTACATAAAAAATATATTGAAAAAAATCTAGGATATTCGAATGATAGATTACCAAAATTTCTTTTAAGTAAATGATGAGAGCAAGGTGTTTCTGGTGGAAAGATTGGATGAGCATGGGAGAAAAATTTGATATTGAGATAAGATGTAAATGAGAATAGAGAGATAGGTGATCTAGTATTATTCAGAGTATAATAGAAAAAAAAACAAGGAGGAGATACCAAATAAAAAGTTTAAAAGGTTAATATAGTTCTGTAAAATTGTAGTTAATTCCAAATAAAAAAATAGTTAATAATTACAAGAAATTCTTTACAAATTAAAAATTTCATATAATTTACCGTTCGAAGCTACTCCCAAAGATATAATCTCATCTCCAATTTCACTTGCTGACCATAGCTTCAATAACGAAACAGTAGCTCTCACTTTACTGTATATCGGTGGTCGATGTATTTTAGCCAACATTTTTTTCTAAAAAGAAAGAATTTACTCTAGAAAAAAACAAGTATCTATCATTTAACAACAATTTATACAGGAAATGATACAAAGAATAACGAACAAAATAAAGATCTTCCAAACCCACTTGGACATTTTCCAGAAGTTGTTTCTTTCAAAGAGAATAAAGCTCATCCAACTATAGTGTATATCACGAAGGATGTATCCGAAAAGAAGTTGAGGTGCGAATCAAGGTACTACTGTCCTGATTGCGATGTGGGACTTGGTGACGCCCTGCTTCAAGACATATCATACGGAAACTAACTTTTAGTTTCTCTTGTTGTTGTCCATTATTAAAATATAAAAATATAAATACATATATGCATGTTTTGTTTTTTACGGTACAATGCAATTGTAAGCTCTTCTGAACAAATACTTTTTGATCATTATCCACAGCGTACATAAAAAATGTGTTGTGTAGTTTACTGGGAATGGCTTTTAGATGAAAAACGAACATACAATGCTCTAGGTAAGGTAGACAACAAAACCTTTTGCCTGCAGGTTTTATTTGTCTGACCAAAAACCCGTCAACGAGATATCTCGGGATAGTTATTATACATGACTTCAACTGTTATAAAAAATATAAAAAACAAAGCAAAAAATCAACATTGTGAAGAAACAAGTGCACAAGAAGTGAGGAAGTAAGTGCATTAACAAAAAAATTTGAGACTGTTTTTGGAAAAACAAACGGTTTGTAAAGGGGTTAACGAAAAGATCAAAAAGAACAAAATTGAATGTTATATCTGATATAGTATTAGAACTGATATATATACACATTTGGTTTTATTTCTGGAACATAGGATTTTTAATACAATTACTAAGATTCCCTGATTTGCAATTAACCAGTGTAAATTTCTATATAACGTCGCTATGTTTTATCTCTCTCTTCAATCCTGACCCCCCAGGGGAGTGTAGTGGTCGACGTGATGTCGTGTATTGTCCGTCTCCAGAGATCTCTGTCTCTGGTCATTTCTTTTAATTCATGCATAGGTCTTTGGCATATTCCTGTAATTTGATCTCTCTATCTTGTTGGGGATCTTCCTCGTGATCTTCGGCCTTCTACCTTTCCTTGTATTATGAGTCTTTCCATGTTTTCTGTGTTTGCTCTCATAACATACCCAAAATATTTTAATTGTTGAAGATGGACTTTACTAGAGAGTCGTTGGCTAACTTTTAGCTCTCTTAAAATTGAATTATTTGTTCTGCGGTCGGTCCAAGGAATTCGTAACATTCGTCTCCAACAGAACATTTCAGTGGCGTTTATCTTTCTTCTCTCCGATTGTCTCATCTTTATCGCTCTTGAAATTTGACAGTCCTTCCATATTTTGGTCATTTTTGCTGTGGCAACTTTTGCTAGATCACATCTACGTTTAATCTCTTTTTGTAATGACCCTGTGTTTGTGATTAATGATCCCAGATATAAGTATGAGCTCACAACCTCGAACCGGTCAATTGTGGTTATGTGTGGATGATTGTTGTGTAGTCTATCCACTATCATGATCTTTGTCTTTGATATGTTTTATAACGTCGCTATGTTTTATAAACTAATTTATTTGTTCCACTGGATTACCTCTCCTCAGTGGTTTGTAGTAGCGTATGTGGCACGCCGACAGTGTTGCTCCGTCTACCGATCTTTCCTGAAAGTCCAGTTTTGTGCAGATAATAAATAATGTTTTATTAACATCAATTTTGTTTGTGTTCATTAGGTATTATTTGAGTTATAAAATTTATACTTAAAAACATTTATTATTCCAAATATTGTTTATAATTTCAAATTAAAAAGAGTGTAATATTATTATTTTATTTTTAAAATTCCTTTTATTTTTAATTTTAGAAATCTACTTTTTTTCAAGCCGTTTGGGCAGTAAGACATAACCATTTGTTTAGTTATAAAATATTTTTAATTCCATATCTACATATAAATAAGTAGGTACGTTTTCGTTGAATTGACATGCAATCTAGGTGTGTTCCGTTTTTACACTTATACTGGCAGCATCGCGGCGTGAATTGAGACTCCAGTCGAACAAATGAAAAAAACATCGCGACGTTGTATTGAAATTTACACTGGTTAATTGCACATCAAAGGATCTGAGTTATTATTGTATTAAAAATCCTATGTTTCGTAAATTTTTTTCCAAATATGTACATATAATATAATAAAAACATCTCAGAAGCATATTAAGCTGGAAACAGTTGATAAATGGATTATAACAATTATTCATTAATAAAGTTTGCATCTAAGTCTAGAAAAGCTTGAGAAATTAAAATAATCTTGGAAAGAAAAATATAACAAAGAAAAATAAATCTGATATTAACAGGCAAAGATCGAGCAGAAACACTGAAAATCAGTATCAAATCCCATGACATAGACTTTATATAAATGTTTGATTAAAACACTATTTATAAATTAGGATAGACAAAAATGAAATTTTACTCACAGTATGTTCTTCTACTTCGTCTGATATATCTGTTACACTTTTGAGCATGTATGACATTATTCTAATTTCGGTATGTACCGTACCTAGGGGAAGACTAGTGTCTTTTGGTGCAGTAAGGCTTCTGGAAACAGGTAAGTATGTTGTAAAATATAAATTAACAGTAGCTTACAAGGTCTGCATTTTACATAAATATGAATATACCAAATTGGTTTTAAATGCGACTAGGATTACAGATTACAGATTGCAACTAGGGCGGCTCTTGGCGTGATACACTGAAAGCTACAACAATTCCTATTTCTAATTTAGAAAAACTCACGAAGCGATAGAAATCTGACTGCATCCTGAGAATATAAACAGGGAAGTCTATACTGTTCATCAACAGAGAGTCGACGTACGACAATCTCCACGGATTTTTGCAAAACGGCTCTAATAATCATCTAGAAATATAATTTAGTTATCATGACCAAACAGCCTCTTTTGCTATTGAAGAAACTACACCTAATTGTAGCGAAACGTCGAAAAGAACTCATTACTAATGCTGTAGTACAATTGTGTACATACATTTTACCTTTTTACCTTTTAAATGGTCTATACATTTCCGCTTTGTAAACAATATTCCTCACATCAACGAACTGATTCATTCCGACGAATCCCCATACGGCAGGTGCACTAATTCTGTCCACAGGAACTCCTGTAGTCTCCGAAACGCTTGTTATATACGGAAAAGCTTTGTCTGCAGTTATAGCAACAATATTCGACAGTTTCTTTCGACGACAAGTAGCCGAAATGCACGATGTCATAAAACATACCGGTCCACTGGTTGCCATGATGACTTTTACACTGCGTTTGGCAACGTGGTTGAGCAACTCTGCGAACATTCTCATTCTGAAGCTGCACCGGTTCAAAAACATTGCTTCCGTTTCCACATCATGTCTGTAAGAAATTATTAATATTATAAAAACTAGCAAATATGCATTGTCTACTTAAAAAGTTTCATTGTTTAATTGTTATAAAAACTACAACACGCATAAAATAAATTTGATATAGAGTTAAGAATATGAGATTTTTGGAATTTGAAAATTTTTCTTTATTCCTTGCTCTCTATGTATTTTACCAGACCCAACAATTATTTTCTTCTTAGTTTCTTCCTTACCACCTCTCGTCTATCGTCTGCCATGCTCATTCTCTGAAATCTCGTCTTTCCTCGATCGCGTCACCTTCGTTCTTTCATGATTAATCACGTACATACATTTCAATTAATCTGCTTTTCTTGCGTGTCCATACCAAATTAGGCGTTTTTATTAGGCTTCTTGTAGCTTAGTACATATTGTTACATATTGTTACGGCAATTCCGTGAGATTTATTCAATTTAAAAAAGTCACTTTGCCAAAAAGAAGAAGTATTAAAGAATCCTAGAATATTCGAGATATCGACGAAAAATCCTGAAATGTCTGGTGAAGTCTGGAACATCAGAAAATATATATAAACAGGTGTTGTTGACAATTTGTAATAGTTGTAATTGAGTAAAAATAATTGTCCTTCACTCCTTTAAAACGCAAAAAGGGCCTAAACGATTAAAAAAATAACCTCTTTCTGTGGATAATATATTTATAATTCAATACTAACTTAAAGAAATCTTCAATGTCAATAACAATATCAGCATCCTGAATAACTTCTTTTAAATGTTCGCATAGATACACCATTTCATGCTTTCCAAATCTTTTCAACGAATTCAAATACATCACATACTCTGTCGTAATCTCCAACTTTTTCAGGTCTGTTGTTTGATGGTAGTCGTACAGCTTAAAAATTATACCTTGCGACTTCCATAACGTCTTTATTTCGACCAGTTCGAGTATTAGAAAACAAGTCATTGGACTGGATGCGCCTAAAATAGCGATTACTTGGACATCTTGTATGCTGCTGGCTGCCATGTTTTCTTTAAAAAACTATAACAAGAAAGTTTTAAGAAGTCGTTAATGAATGATACAAGTATTATGTTGTAGGTAACTTTAGAACATAGCTCATCCCCAAGAAAAATTTAGGATCAACGAAATTAAAAACAATAATTGTTATCACAATTGTGAGCAGTTGTCGAATCAGTTTAAGACCTATACTGGTCGTATCTCTTCTTATGTCCGAAATTCCACACATTTCATCACCTTAATCTCCTCCCTCACGGTCGATCCCCAAGACATTCTCGTCAGTTTCGATGTATCATCCCTATTTACCAATATCCCCATACATGGCTCTCTAGTTGTTCTGCGAGATCACTTGACCAATGATAACAAGTCTTTGGTTTTGGCAGATCTTGCAGAAAAATGCCTCCTTTCAACATATTTTTCTTTTAGAGGCAATTTCTACAAACAAATATCTGGAACACCAATGGGTTCTCCCCTTTCCACTGTCATTGCTGACATTTTCATGGAAGCCTAGAATCTTACCCCTTAAAACCAAAAGTCTGGTTCCGCTACGTTGATGATACATTTATCATCTGGCCCCATGGTCAACATACCCTTTCTCCCTTCCTAGATCATCTTAACTCACAACATCCGAGTATAAAATTCACAATGGAAGTAGAAAATAATCGGTCCCTTCCCTTTCTCGATGTGTTAGTCACCTCCAAGCCCAATGGCCGATTGGGTCACTCTGTTTATAGAAAAAAGACTCACACGAATCGTTACCTACATGCTTCATCACACCACCATCCTGCCCAAAAGAATTCTGTGATCAACTCTCTCATCCATCGGGCCATTTCGATTTCTGAACCCGACAACCTTAGAGAAGAACTTGGCAATCTGCAAAAAACCCTTGTCGCCAACGGTTACTCCAAGTCCACAATTCAAAATATTACACACCGACATCTACATCCCCCTTTACACCCTAGGACGACAAATTCAGAATCTTCGGGTAATACTCCTGTGGCTTTTCTTCCGTATATTCGAAGCGTCACTGATAGGATTGGCAAAATTCTTCGCAAAGAAGGTATCAGGACTACTTTTCGACCACCCAAGAAAATCTCACAATATCTACCCTCTCCTAAGGACCCATTACCGCCCCTATCTTCCTGTGGTGTCTATTCTATTCCTTGTTCATGTGGACATGTGTATATTGGCGAAACTGGTCGTTCCGTCAAAACTCGGATTCAAGAGCATCAAAGATGCATTCGATCAGGTATTTTCTCCCATTCTGCAGTTGCAGAACACTGCCAAGAAACCGGTCATTCCATATTGTTCGAAAAAACCCATATTATTTCTAAGAGCCCTTTCTTTTATTCCAGGAAAATCCGCGAATCTCTAGAGATCCGAAAAAATCCACATAATATCAATCGAGAGGAAGGATACTACTTGTCTCCCATCTGGAATCTCAGTCTAGAGCCGCCGTCCGGTCCCGCTACCACGATGCAGCCACATGATTGGCCAGCGCGCGCTTCTTGACGTTCGCGCCACGAAGTGTGCCGATACGTCCCGACACGACAGGTCACCGCGACTATAAATAGAGCGGTAGCGGAGTAATCGTCGGATTCACTCCCCGCCTCTCGACGCGTTAGTGTTCTGAGCTGTTGGACGTGAATCCCTGTCCTGGCATTTGGTTTTCACCTTTGGCTGCGTTAAGTAGTTAAGTTACTGTGACCAAATGCCCATCTTGGTAGTTAGTATTCGCCTCTGGTTGCGTTGAGTAACTGAGTTACCGTTGCTAACTACCCCTCTTCCTGTCCTTTGATTTCTTTTTCTTTTTTCTTTGTTCTCCTGAAGAAGCTACATACAATTGTAGCGAAACGTCGAGATGAACCCACTTTTGGGTCACTCACAAATGACACGGTCCAAACCCAGAAGACGAATAAACTATAATTCTGACTCTGGCCGTGGAAGCCTACGATTTCATTTAACCTTACTTTTATCATTTTTATTTGACGTTTAAACTGCATCATTATAATCCTCGCTGGAAGCTGTACCACTTGTGTAAGATCTAAATAAGTCACTGTCTTCATCTGAGACGTAGGTTTGAAAAACTTTGATCATGCCTTTTTTTGGTAATTTTCTTTTTCTCACTACTCGAAAATGCTTTGCTTTTATTATTTTTGTTTGGATATGATTTATAAGAATAACGAGGATGTTTTCAATTAACCTGCGCCCCCTGGGGTATTTTGCACCACCCACCACCGCCACCACTACTTTAGAAACTGCCGAGCTAGAATTTATAATTCTGAAACTACCAAAATAAGCACTTAAGCCAAATATTTCTTGTCGTATCAAAAATTATACCTTTAAATTGTCTGCTGCCAGAAATTCTAATTCTTGTTTGGAGATAAGCGATTCGAGACCATAATAGCAATAGACATGTTCCCAAAATTCAGATAGACCTCCGATAAGATGCTTTTTTCCTCCCCACATATTGATTTCTTTCCAAATCAATGGGCTTTCCGAAACATACCATTTATTTTCTTTGTTTAACTGTTCCAAATAAATCTAAAACAAGTAGAAAGTTATACCGATCTTATGTATGCTTATCTTCATAATGAAATTGTCATATTAGGAGGTCAAGGAAAGGAACTATCGCAAGGAGATCCATAATCTACAGCACTATTCAACTTTACTTTCTCAGCAACAGATCAGTGTACGTACAGACAAGTGAAATAACATCCTACATCATAAAATAAAATGATATCTAGGAAAACAAAAATATAAATCTACAAAACCACCAGTAATATATGGCGGTGACACTTGGCGTTAAATAAAAAATATTCAGAAATTGCAATAATGAAAAAGAAACTTATTACGCAAGATATGTGGTGGAATATTGAATAAAGAATAACAATGGAAAAAGGGGCAGAAATAGCAACAAAGAAGTGATGGGGCTATATTAACTGTCAAGTATTATACCTACACAAAACGAAAGCTATAGAACGGCAAAGGAAGAATAGAACGATTAAAAAGAATCTGGTTGAGCAGATAAAACTATCTGGGAATAACTGCTGGGCAGGAGGAAACAAAAATTTGAAAGGGGTTGAAAAAATAAAGAAAATAGAAGCTATGAGTCTCCACGCCTAGATAAAATGTATTCAATATACTCTTTGGTGTAGAGACCTAAATAGGTTATCGAACTTACCGCCCAGTCCATAGACAGTTTTTCCACTTTCTTAAAAACAAAGTTTGGAAGTTTATCGGCCAAATATTGCGCCACATAAATTGCATGAACAAAGTTTGGACAGCTAGGTTTTCCATTAATTACAAAATAAGGCATTATGTTGACTTGACATTTATTAGTGCTTTATTTTTTGTATAAATGACAAATGTCAATATAATATAAAAAGATTTTCATGATAAACTCCTTATACCCCTTTTAAAAGATATTTCCAGTGGATAAAGAGTGGCCTATGTCTAAGGAACAGAAATATACATATAGATGGCACTCTTTGACAAGAGTGACGTTCGGTGCTCTCATTGTTTTGATTTTAAGTAAGTCGTTGTCGTTGTCAAATTCATTTAATTGTTAATAGAACATCTGTGCAAGTGCGTGTGTGAAGTGAGATAATTCAAAAAAGGTGTTTGCGAATTTTTAAAAAATATTTATCGGAATGTTAACAGTTTCACAGTTCGTGTGAACAATTATAAACATGATTGAACAATTCGTCTTAAAAGGACCGATTTTCACAGATAGGTGAAAAATTATGGAAGAATATGAAGATGAACCAGATATAAATGAACAAATTTTTCACAACAACGTGAGGGAGCAAATTGTAAGTGATTTTTAAATTAATTGGTGTAATTTGATCATTTGGTTATACTATACAGTGTGTGCTTATTTTTAAAAAAATATCCTTGGTGTATTATTAGTTCATACAAATTTATTGGTTGTCTAATTTAATACAATATACACATATCAATGAAATAATTAGAACATTAATATAGATACTAGATAATTATGCATTTCTTTGTAGTTTTTGGGTCAGTTCACATCGTTGTTATATCACTTTAAAAAGTTGCAAAGAGATTTGCAATCTTTATGCATAAGTGGTTCATGGTTTAACAATTGATCTGGTGCAAAATGATTAGTCAGAGTACTTTTTTAAATTAGGTATTAAATAATTGTTCTTTATATCTTATCTGAAAAAGTACCTGAATAAATTACTGTTTTTAGAGGTTGTAATCAAATTTACACAATTTTTGGTAGATATAACACTATGAATCAATTTGTTTAATAAGCACATGAATTATTTATATAAATTTTTTACTTATGTATGTATAACTTGTTCAACATACATTCAGAATTCAAATATTTCAGCTGTAAAGCATTTCTTAATTTCCTCTGTACATTGTTTTATTAAAATCTTTCAATTCAATATTCCAAATTCATTAGTCTTGAATTTCCAATAAACTTACTGATGATATCTGTTTTACCGTTTTTTCCTATGCTTTAGATTTCTTGGATTTAATATATTTAGCAATTATTATTCTCCTTTGTCTGGGGTACACTCGAACATGAATATCAGTTGAACATTTAAAAAATATTGCTTGTTTTTCAAGATGTAAAGCAAATTTGTAAATACTGCCAACCTTTTTTTATTTTTATTTAAATTTGTGGTGTTTTTCCTTTGATAGCCTCTCCTTTGATAGCATTTCTGTAATTTGATAAATATCCCTGCCTCCTGATTGAAGAGTAAAGTTTATTGTTACAGTTGTGCTGTCTTTCCTGGCCTCTAAAAGTAGAGCTGAAAACATCATCAACAAGCATTTGTTATATTATTTTCACTGATTTTGTCAGGATTTTCCCCAGTTTCCCCCCCAGTTTTGTTATGCTAACATCATTGTCAGTCATCAAGTCCTCAAAAAAGCTACTTTTAAACAACACCAGAAGTATCATCCTGTCTTTACGGGTTTTAACACCAAAAAATTTATCAGTTTTAAAGGTGAAAGTTTTGCTTGGCAAACATTTGAAGAACAAACCTGTTTTATCACAATAGAAAACGTTTTTTTTTACTTATATTTTTCAAGTCTTGCAGTCTAAATGTCACAGTTCTCCCAACACTTGCATTTTCACCAGACAGTATTTTCAAAGCAATTCCATTGCATGTTTTATCCTAGTTAATTTCTTGAACAAATACTTACACATTTACTAAACATAGAGATTTTTCGCTATAAAGTTTTTTACTGTACACACAGTATACACTGTATATATAATATACCTATGGTGTAACAGTGAGTCACATATCCCCATCTCTGGTTATATTGCTCATATTGCTATTTTTTACCCTTTACATTGTGTATCTACCCGTTAATGTCATTTTTATTAATTTTTTATTTATTACTCAATTCTTTTGATCTCCATAGATTATCATTTCTTAGCCATATATTATTATGTTTTCTTTGCTTCTCTTTTCTTTACCCCATACATTTCCTGAACATAGTTTTTCCACATACTTTTTTCCATTCTATAGCTTCTATTAAATTCCCATCTTACTCCTCTATAAATGTCACTTTTATCAAATATCCTCTTTTAATTTTTAGTTTCCTTACAACATTTCTTTGTGTTTGTTGTTCCTACATATAATTATATTTTCTCAACTTAGAACACTTTTAAAAAAAACTTTATTTTTGAAAGTATACAAATTACAGACTATGCTTAATTAATGTTAACAATTATAGTTGAACGTAAGCTAGCAAGTGACTCTAATAGAATGAATGTACTTTTTTATTTTAAGCTGTATTTATAATGTTTTAGGTAATAACTTATAATCTAATGGTGTTGTTGGCTTCCTTCGGTGTGGTCTTGGCGGAGGTCTCGTGGCGTTGGTATTGCGTTGCGTTTGTCTAGGTGTTATGGTTACGTTTCTCCTCCTTCCTTGGGATTAAATTCCGTCCTCGGAATTTCGAGAAGTTCTTGAAGGGCTGCTACTTGGTGTTGTGGCATTTTGGGTCCAAATAACAGTTTGTAGATTCTTCTTCTCTTGCGAATTGCTATGTATAAAATTAATGCTAAAACAGACATGATTAATAATGTGAGGATGAGGCTGATGCTGGTTGTCATCAATGGCTGTAGATTTGTCGTTTCGATGGGCTCGAGTCGGTGATGGGTTCTTGGAATTTCCAATTTTTCTAATATAAGTGAATGTTTCGGGTGAAGTTTCATTTGTATGATATTTGGCATTTGCAGTTCTTGGATGGTCTGCGGGTTTATCTTTTGTCCCATGATGTATAATGTTTCATCTGTGGAAATCACGCTGGAGTGGTTGACAGTGATTTCGCCAATTTTAAGGGGTTTTGCTAATCCTAGTAGAACGACGTGGTCAGTCTCTATGATAAAGTTTTCTGTAACGTGTGCAGTGAGGCATCCTTGTACGTCTGGGATTTGACATTTTGAGTAAACTCTATCTTGGCAAATGATGATGTTAGATTTTGGCGTGCAATTTTCGTACCATGTGTTATTTGCGTAGTACTTTGCAGGTGGGATTATCATTGCTTGTTCGTTGTTAGGTATCGAATATATTTTGGAAGTTGGGTAAGAGTGGACGTGGAGAATAGGAATTTTTAGGATAATAAGCATACTTGTTTGAGTTATACATATTACTGAATGTGAGGCTTCTAAAAGTTCATAGGGGTGTTCTTCATTGAGTATTAGAGCGTCTCGAGGATAAATTGAGAGAAGTGTGTTTTGAAGATTAAGTATCTCATGTAAGGTAAGAAGTTCGATATTTGGAATATTGGATTGAGAGAATGTTATTGTTCTTAATAGTTTTTTGATATATTGGTTTATGCTTTGTATTTCTAAAATTTCGTTAAGTATGGCTAATTGTTTGGAAACATGATCTATTTCATTTGATATTAGGGCATTGTTATCATTTAGCTTTTTAAGAAGTATGTCGAATCTGGTATTAAAGGTTTCGCCATAAGAGATTTGATTGTTATACTTTTTTATTATTTCGTTTTGTTTAAGCTCGACTGCAGCGAGATGAGATTTGAGGAGTTCGAAGTCTGAGTCGTCGGGATTGCCGGTAATGTATTTGATAGTTGTACCTAAGAAGTTGAAAAGACCTCGTTTTTGTATTCTTTTTCGTGTAATTTTGTGTAAGTTATCTTCTGCCTCTTTTAGTAGGTGAATAAATTGGTTTTTTAGAAGTTGTATCAAGGGTATGTTTGGTAAGACGTTGTCGAAGTTGTCGCTACTGTTGGATAGTGTTTGTTGGAGTTTGTGTAAGTCAATTTGTAGTATGTGTTTATGGAAATGAGTTATGATTTTTGAGTCTCCTATTGATTCCGTATAGTAACCATTATTGGGTATCTCTTGGATTTTGACCAGTGCTTGCAGATGTTGAAGGGCCATCCTGTAAAGAGGATTTTTTGTAGTGTTTTCTTTGTCTTTTAACGTATTTTAAGTGTGTACTAGTTTTGTTATTTTTTGCCGTTAGGCCAGTAATTTTTGTTTTGTTTTGTGAAGTGGGGGTTATTGTCTGATATAGAGGGTCTAGTTTGGGTTGAATTTTCTTTTTCTTTGCGTAAACTTTTTGTGTGATTGTAGGTATTTCTTCTGCGTCTTTATTTACTTTTTCTAGGGCTTTGTCTCTTTTTTCTTTTGTTTTTGTATATATGTGGTCAATAAATGGAAGTAGTTCGTTTTTATGTTGTTCATTATAAGTTTCATAGATAGGTAGGTCAAAGTCAAAATTAATTTCATTTAGATAAGGGCCGTAAAGTATTGAAAATGGTGAATGACCTGTAGAACTGTGAATCGATTGATTGTACACAAGGACAGCTTGTGTAAAGGTGTCATCTAAGGAGTTTTGCGGATTTTGTGCTTTTAATGTTCGAATTTTTTCTAACAAGGTTGAGTGGAATCTTTCGACTGGGGAGTTTGATGAAGAATTGTTAACAGTGGCTGTATGAGTTTCGATCTTGTGTAGATTCAAGAATTCTTTGATAACTGAGGAATTGAATTCTTTTCCGTTGTCGAATACAATTTTCTTGGGATGGTTATGGTGTGAGAAATAATGTCTAATTTTGCTTAAAATCGATACGGAGGCTTTGTCTGGAAGTTTGTAGCATTGGGCGTATTTTGAAAATGAGTCTACTAATGTTAGGTAATAAGATTTATTGCATTGTAGTATGTCTACATGTAAAATATCAAATGGTTTCTGTCCTAATAGCGGACCTAACTGAGGTAGTTTGTATGGTTGGCGTTCATATTTGTTTTGTAAACAAATATCACATTTGTTAATAAAATTTGCTATCGTGGTTTGCATTGAGGGCCAGTAAAACTTTTGTTTTAGATGTTTATATGTTTCAATTATGCCGTTGTGATTCATGACATGATAAGTTTTTGTACATTCTATTTGTTTTTCTTCGCTTTCTATATCTTGTAAAAGTTTTTCGCAGAAATTTGCTTTAACAGTATTATCTATGTGTGTTCTAAAGAAATCACATATGAAAGGTTGGAAACAATGTGGAGTTTTTATGCCAAATTTTTGGCTTGGTTTTAAAATTGCTTTAAATGCGTCGACAAGACAATCTTGCCAATTTTCAGTAACGTGAACGGAGTATCTATGTTTTTTAAATACTCTTTTGTAAGTGACGTCGTATTTTTCGCTGTTAGGAATAATTATTATTTGATTAGTTGATAAATTTAAGGGTTCTTCTGATATAGGTATGCCATTAATAGGGTCTTCTAATGAAGTGTGTTGTGTTTGGGTTTCATCGAGATTATTTTGAATATTATCGAATGTATCTAAGAATTCGTCTGGGTCAA